AGACACCAAGGAGCCCCTCCAGAGCAATGAAGACTTCCCCGCGATATCGCAAGCCGAAATCAAGGCTGCGCTGGACAGGCTAGCGAGTCGCTCCATGGTCCAATACAAATCACTGGACTCGGAAAAGGTCATTCTCACACCAGAGTCGGAAGGCATAGTAGCGGATGGCAGTCACGAATTCAGGGTCTGGCAGTATGTCAAGGAGAAGGAAAGAGTCCCAATCGCAGACCTACCTGTATGCATGCCATCATGGACCACATTGAGAATGAGCGACTGATACAACGCATAGAACATCTTCGGAAAGGAAGTTGCGAGTGTAGGACAGGGTAATGGATTCAAGAACAAGTGGATAAAGAAGGACGGGAGCGACATCATCCTTCTCCAGACCGAAGAGCCGAAAGATCTCAACCGCGAACTCCTTCAAGGCATCAAAGACACCCAATCCCTCGACGACGCCAAACTCCTCGCTCAGCTGAAGAAGAAGAAGCTCGTCACCGTTACGAAAGTCATCACATACACCATCACAAAGGGGCCCAAGTACGCGAAGGAAATACCAGTAGAACACACAGACCTGACTGTGGAGCTACTCACAAACGATGCCTGGAAGACCGCAAACTTCAAGCCCTACAACTTCGCTGCGCTCGGCGCAAACCAAGATTCTGGCGCATTACATCCCCTGAACAAGGTCAGGCAAGAGTTCAGGAATATCTTCTTCTCACAAGGCTTCGTAGAGATGCCCACAGGACAGTACGTATTGACCCAGATATCATACTCGTATACTACTTACACTCTCTAGCTATGTCGACACTGGTTTCTGGAACTTCGACGCGCTCTTCGTACCACAGCAACATCCCGCCCGCGACATGCAGGACACCTTCTTCGTTTCATATCCACCAAAAGCCGACAAGCCGCGATTAGACCCTGCGAACGAAGCGACGATGGACCGCATGGAGGCTGGATCAAAACGTCTCTTCTCCACACCTGAGAGCGAGAAGAAGGAAAAGAAGCCCCGAGACTTTGAGAAGTACTGGCAAGACGTCAAGAAGGTCCACCAAGAAGGCGCTTTCGGCTCAATAGGATGTTCGTGGCTACCCAATCCCCTGTTCAATATTGTCCTATGCTAACAATGTACACAGACCGATACCCATGGGAAGAGGATGAATCCCTCCGCCTCGTCCTCCGCACGCACACAACCGCAGTCTCAACATGGGCTCTCCACCGCCTCGCTGAAGACCCACGGCCCGCCCGCTACTTCTCCATCGACCGCGTCTTCCGTAACGAGACCGTCGACGCAACCCATCTCGCCGAGTTCCACCAGATCGAAGGTGTCATCGCAGACTTCGGCCTCACACTAGGCGGTCTCATGCGCTTCCTAGAAGACTTCTTCGCCAACATGGGCCTGACAAACCTCCGCTTCAAACCCGCTTTCAACCCTTACACCGAGCCCAGTATGGAGATCTTCGGCTTCCACGTCGGTCTCGACAAGTGGATCGAGATTGGCAACAGTGGCATGTTCAGGCCGGAGATGCTGGAGCCTATGGGTCTGCCCAAGGATATGCGCGTCTACGGATTCGGACTCAGTCTGGAGAGGCCGACGATGATGAAGTATGGTGTCTCGAATATTAGGGAGTTGTTGGGTCACAAGGTGGATCTGAGCTGGATCCGGGAACAGCCAGCTGTGCGCTTTGATAAGGAGTGAGATGGTGGACCAGAGAAAAGTAGACGATGCGCATGACTGTAACGATAGAACGTACTCTGCGCAAATGATATCCAAATTAAGACCAAAATGGCTTTCGAGAGATGAGTTTGCTGTTACTACTTTGCGCAGTCTCCACTATTCTCCGTGCCTCCTTCAGTCACTGGTCAGATGACAACACCTCGACGCTGGGAAGTTGGGTCTCTCAATAAGTATCTGCGTCGTGCTGCGCCGACCCCGTCACCATAGCTCTCGCCTGTGTGAGCCTCGCGCTTCTTCTGCGCATTGATACTGATCCTCTTGGTATCTTCTGCGTTTCGTTCTCCTCTCATTTCAGTCCAACTCACTCCCAATCCAATACCTCACTCTTTCTCCAAACTACTCTTAACATCCTCCTCAACCATCTTGTTCCTTGCGCCCTTATATATCCAACTCTCCTCCTGCTTATCACCACCCCACTTATTCTTTGCCCATATCAACCCATCCTGACCCAGCCCAAACCCAGCCCCAACAAACAGACCCAAGCGAATCGTCCTCGCAGCTGTCGAAACAGGGAACTGATGCCACGCACTCCACAATCCACCCGTAACCATACCTGCTAGCCCACTCGATATAAAATCCCTACTCCCCGCTATCCCCTTATTTATCCTCCGCATATCCAACTCGTCCACGCCCTCCATCTCCTCCATCGTGCGTCCCGCGCTCCATGTACCCCGGAACACATCTAGACTCTCTTCCACGATGAAGAAGACCGATGACCATGCTGCGATATATGCGCCTTTCCTTAATCCCTCAACGATGCCGTAGCGCCATTTGTAGTAGTTCTTCGACTTGTGGTACAGGTACCAGCCGGGATTTGAAATGGGCAGGCGATGCGCGTTTTCGGCGCGGAAGCGCAGGGAAGCCATGTGGCCGGCGTTTAAGGAGCCGAGCGTGAAGCCGGAGAGGAAGGAGAGCGAGGTGGTGAGGAGGAGGCGCCGGTCGAAGGGCATGCCTAGGCGGGGTGCGTAAGGGAGGGGTTGTGTAGGACGTTGGGGTGGTGTCGCGAGCATTTCTTGGGGTGGCATTGTGGATGGTGTGGACGCAGTTGTCGCCATAGTTGAATTGTGGTGCCCTTGGGCGCAATGGTCAGTCGGAGTCTCCCTGAGAAGGTGATCGTTGGGTGAGGTTTGCGACGGGTGCGGAGGTGGTGCGGAGATGCCTCAAGTCCGATTTCGTCAGACTTCCGAGCGCGCGCTGAATTTGCGGATGATACACTAGACACACTTTACTGAATGCGCTTAAGAAGATCCGGAAAGCAAGTGAGTCTCGTGGTATACGGGCTGGAATAGATGTGAGGTGAAGATCGGGGAAGCTCGTGAGCTCGACTCGCCAAGATTTCTAGCAAGGGTTCAGGTCGCGCCTTCCTCCCCGCGAACCCCTCCATTACTTTAGCAACAACGCGTCTCTATCCCTCGAACACTACAGCGTCACTCGCAGATACCTGTATATTCTCTCTGAACGCGTACAATACACGTCCGACGACTATACCCTATCCTACTCCACCGCCACATCACGATGGCGACGCCTTCACCGCAGACCTGGACGCTTCGTCTCAAGGCTCACAAGACCACCGTCATCCTACACGTCGACCCTCTACACACCTTCGATACGATCAAGACATACCTCTACGACGCTCTACAAGAAACCGACTTCAAGAACCCCGAGACCGGCGAGTCAATACCACTACCTCCATCCGCGTCAGACATCCAGCTCGGTCGGCCAGTGAACATCAACGACGCAAACGAGGGTTTCGAATTAGGAGACTGGGAATATGCCATCGGCGAAGAGGAAGAGGAGGGCGGCAAGGGTAAAGGCAAAGCGAAAGCCAGTGGAAGCGCCAATGGTGGAGCGAAAGCAGGCACAGCGAATGTCAAGCAATGTCCCAAGGGCGCTGGGCTGAAGGACGGCGCTGTGTTAGCCTTCCGGTGGCCCGGTGACGGCAACTGTGATGGTGAAGATGAGATCGACGTTGATGAGGGAAGACCCGGAAAGGCTGGAGATATGTGGGGTGTCAAGCTGGCGAGCTTCGAAGATGCGTACGGTGTTGAGAATGAAATGGATGTAGGTGGTAGACCGGAATTCGAGGGCTAAGCGGACACGGATCACCACTTTTATATGCTATTGGCCGTAGGAGAACACCTGTACCCGCGAATTTGCTACGCTTCGGATTATCTGGAACAGCCAGGGCGGGCAGAACGATTGTCCCCATGACTTCGAGATGGAGCATTTCAACGGGCCCCAAACGACAACGTCGCCCAGCGAATAATGACGGATGGTTCCGCGAAGCTGCGGTACAGTGGGCATCGAAACTGGGAAAGAGACGTGCCGAATGAGAGGAACTATGACCGCAACGGACAGTTCAGTGAACGTTAGAAGGGTGTGCGATGCAACTACAGTGCTGAGAACGACCCAGAACCTGGATGAGTATCCAGTGGTTATTTAGCCAGGAGTGGAAGACAGAACATCTGACAGAATGGGCAAAGCTTACAGTCCATGTCGTCGTATCATATCATATTTCCTAATTACGTGGCTGTCGTGTGCTGTGCCGCAATGTCACATAACCTGAGAGCGCGCTACATCACGAATAGGTTAGTTAGCCACAACCGGACCGACCCAGTGTCTTGGGCGTATACATGCGTTTCTCTCCTGACACTTCAACCACAACGCCGTCTACCGCTTTCCATCTCTTAAACTTTTCACCTATCATTGTCACCCACACCTACTCCCAGCTGCAAGTATGATGCTCTACAACGCGCTAGCCCAGGAAGATGCAGAGCTGCTGCGCGAGGCGTAGGAAAAAAGACTTGACGCAGGGCAGAATGAGATCCTTGACTTGGTCATCAAACGAATGGGAAGTGAAGTCGCTAGAAAGTTTGGTGGCTATTTCAAAGGATCCTACAACATCTGTCTGGTCGTTAATGTCAACTTGAAGCCCACATACGTGATACGCTTTCCACAGCTGGAACCAACGGCAACACATTTCCTGGATGAGAAGGTCCGAAATGAAGTCCAGGTCACGGAATCTTTGCGCCAGAACATGTTACCCCTGCCGAAGGTGTACAGCTGGGGGTTAACCAGTGATAGCCTATCGAAGATCGGTCCATTCATCATAATGGAGTATGTTGAAGGCAGACGATTGATCGAAGAGATACAACAGCCTATTAAGACCGACGGCGGTGTCGAGATGAAACTCTGGGATATACCTACGTTGAACTACTGATTAATAGTGTGGCTATCTGCTTGCTAAAAGAGTACTCAATATTTACGCTTCACCACGCCTATCCGCAAAGATCCCCTCTTCGACCCTTAACAACCAAGCCCCCTGCTCTTCAACTAGCCTTATCCTCTTACTCTCCGCCCCATTCTGAATATCGCTCTTCCTCCCTCTTCTAATACCTCCCCCCAACCCCGCAGCCCAAATAGGCGCCACAGCACTACTCTTCCAAGCACCTACAAACACGCCTTTACGTAAGCTCTGCCACAGTGTTGCAAGGAAGAATGTTACTCCAAAGAACACCATGAAAACGGGTAGTGTAATCCAAGGCCATTGCACACCTACGCATGTCTGATTCACCAGGACTTGTCCTTGCGCCCAATTATCTGGCGCGTGTTCACCACGTTGTCGCATCATGGCCGTGATGAAGGAGGTTAGTTGCGCAAAGTATGCATCGGTAGTCGCGAGTGTGGCTTTTCCGGCGCGGTAGATGGCTTTGTATTGCTGGGGGCCGCGAGTGGAGAACTTGAGTGCGGGTCAGTGACCTGCATGATGATTGGGGACGAAGGTGGCGAGAATGGTGGCGACTTACAGTATTCATTATTCCGTTCTTGACGTAAGGTGCTGTGTCTGAAGGGTCGAACATCCAGGATAGATACTGGTTGATACCCAGACTGATCTCATAGCCGAGACTAAAGACACAGTCGGACGGGTAGTATGATGGCGGTACATTGAGCTGCCTCTCGCTTCGGCCGGCGTAGAGGGTATACCTTTCAGAGTTGACCGCGACAGACTCAGACGATGTGGGATTCCAACTAGGGTTGCATTGAGCCCATGCGCCATTTCGGAGCACGCGATGGGTCGCTAAAGACCACGTCAGATTGACGGAAGTTGTGACTTCGAGAGCCGTTTCATTCGTTCTGCGGAGCGAGGATGTGCTGAGAATCTTTTCTTCGAGTTTCGAGTTCAAAATCTTCGCACCCATGGTTTTAATGCAGGGATATATCGCACAGCGGAAGGCCCAAGGATATTTAGGGCAGTGTTCGCTACTCTCAACATCGCAGTCATTATTCACGTTGAGCATGATACCATCAACTGTGATGAGGTCGTCAAAGTCGGCTCGCATGGCCAGTGTCTTGCGACTCCAGTACATAGCATTGGAGTTGTTGTCCGCTTCATGGGGTATAGCGTTTTCGCCGACATAAGCAGGCCGTCTAGCAAAGTTCCAATCATCGCCCACATCCCAGTTCGCAAGTGACCAGCCCTGGGATGTATTTGTGTTGTTGACTTGGATGAGATTCGCAATGTCCCAGCACCGATGGCATAGCCCTAAAGTCTGAAACATTTCACCAGTATCGGTAGCCGGAAAGGTACAATTGCCGGTTCGACACTCGAAAGGCATGAGTTCTGTATAATTTATTGGGGGGTCTGGCATTGCGCCAACCATGATAGACGTGGCTAACGTGGTGTTTAGCTCGGCATTTCCGATGCCTCGAGGGACGGCGTCCCGAGTGTAGTTGTTCGCGCGAGGCAATTTCGCGGATTCAGTATGAGAAGCTGGAAAGCAGGAGTAGTACCGGATGATCTGCTGCGAGAATGGATCGATGGCGAGAGCAACGATGCTGAGGACAGCACCGAAAGTGGCCAAGTAACTGCACGTGGGTGAGCTGAGGTGTAATTAATGCGGGGCATGAACATACTGGGGACGAAGGCGAAGAAGCAATAGGAACGAACCCCATGGGCCTCTGCTCGCGCTGTCGAATCTGTCCAGATCAAGCATAGGTTGTGGGTCTCTGAACCAGAGCCATTTGAGCTGGCACAAGCCTAATGGTCTTAGTACTCTGACGATGCTTCGCATACGCGCAAAGAGTGTCAGTACGTACCTTCTGCGAGAACCAGCATGATGGCCGCCTTCATCACGGCCGTGAATATGGAGACCCAGGCGTTGATTGACAATGGATCCTGTTCCGACAAGGGAGAACCTTGGGTGCTGGCTAAGATGGCGATGACTGCTATCAAACAAGCCACTGCGAGGAAACAACCTAGGATCTCCCAGATCCAGCGGTCCTCGCAACGCACTATAAAGCGTGACAACGAAGCCCATGCTTGTGAGAACCCGTCGCAAAGCACCGAAGGCTTGGCGGGACCTTTTGTTGGGTTCACTTGCGATGTTTTGGTGGTGTTTGCAACCACGTCCTCGACCTTAGTGATAGTGGGTGGTTTCTGGCAGGAGACTCGAGCAGTGGTGTGGGTGTTATCAATAGCGTCTACCTCGATCGCAACATCCACTTTTGGCAGCGCAGACATCTTTGAAAGTAAAAAATTGCAAGTAAAAACAATTTACAAATTCAACGAGGAATCTCATGAAAGTGAGGGAAGACAATCCTTGAACATGCCTGTTGACATGCTCACTTGTCTGCCTTGTGACCTGCACTGCTTATCCTAAGGCACAGTCTTCGTACTCCTGATATCCCTATCAAGCAACGATCCGCCAATTGGGGACGAACCAGTGGGTCAACGCCCATGTGCGACACCTCCTGTTCACCGGAACCGGAACCCTGCAGAAGCTACATAAGAGTGTCTCCTCGGTACTGTTAACAACATGGTGGCTGAAAATTCGGAACTACACTGGCAAACCGGAATCTAGATCTGAATTGGTAGCAAGGTGTAGCGATGAATGGAGATAAAGCAATTACATCCAATCAATCTCTTCGCCACTTTTCTCTCTATGCGGGCTGCTAAATTAGGCGACAAAGAACACCCCTCTGTCTTAGCTTTACTGGGAAATGTCTTCTTATAGTCAAATACTTCGCGAAGGTCTCGCGTGCGCTGCGAGGTCCATGAGGTGCTGGGAGGATCAACGCATTGCTTGTCTATGTACACATCACGCATCAGTGGCAGCCTTGCAGACTCTAGATCCCTATTTTTTTTTCCATCATGCTCGTTCCCTGTAAGCACAACCAGATCACCCCGGCAGGAATCTGGCAGAACCTTGTCTCAAATGCTGGAGTGTCTAGAAGTTCTAGAGAGTGAATAAAGTAGACGTGGCTGAGGCTGAAGGCGGCACAGATTCTCTTACTTCGCAGCAAACGTTAGTGTTTCTACTGGCTGGTAAAAGTTGCAGCTGACAGGCTTTCGCCTAGACTCCAGATCGCTGGCTACGATGAGGCAGAGAACCAGCGGGTCCGAAATGCTTTTCCTGCGGACGAGGCCAAACCTGGCACTAGCTTCAAGCCTCACCAACGCCTTCAATGAACGATCTGTAGGAGCCACCCTTCTGATTGGGTTTTGTGGAACCGACGAAAACAACAAATCACAAAAACTACACTCGATTGGTCAATACCTCGTGTTATCGCGTTGGCCGTGGTGCCATGGGAAGTCTCCGAAACTGATCGGTATTCGTAAGGCTGAAGACCTTCGAACCGCTCTCATTCCAGAGTTGCCTGTCCCCAGCCTAGCTCATTTACACACCAAACGCAACGCCGTAGCGAACCGCGAAGATGCTAGACGATGTTTCATCGCCCGTCACCGCCTCAAACAGTCTATCGACCAGTACCTATCTACCGCTGCCGACACCAGTCCATTTAAGCTATACTGCTGGGACTTCCGCCCATCGAACATGATCTTAGACGAAAAGTCGAACATCAAAGGGGTACTGGACTTTGAACTTTGTACCGTTCTGCCCGCAGAGTCCTCCCACGATCCGCCATAGTGGCTTACAACACTGCGACCTACTACTTGGATTGACAATGACTTTGATTTTGGAGCATTCAAGGCAAGGCGAGGCTCGAGCCGCACATCAAACAGTTCTTACAAGTGATGGAGAAGAAGGAGAAAGAAAACGGTGGGTCGGTGGCACCACTATCCGCCCGCATGCGAGACTTACGGGCGTCTAACAAATTTTGGTTCAGCGTCGCCATGAGTGACAGCTGGAGTATTGATGCTGTGTATTGGGCTGCGCTGGATGAGCCAGGTGCTGAGGTGCTAGACAATGTTCTGAAGGGCGAGATGGAGGCATTTGTGGAGATGAAGATGGAGCAGCTGGATGCATATAACGCTGAGTATTAGGAACGTGGACTTTGAAATCCGGAGAGTATACGGGGGTGGACTACGAGTTGGGCTTTGAGTTAAGCGCCAGCTCGAAGCGTGTTTTTGCGAATCTGCTTGGGTGCTTGGCGACAGTGAGGATGATGCAGCCGATACAACTCGGCTCATCGTTAGTCTCATCGTCTAGAATTCGATTCCCCGCATCAAAGCTTCCATCAAACGTGCTGTTTAAATTTAAGGTGCGGGCCGAGAAGCGTTCTGAAGTCCCCATGATCATTATGTTACACTAGTTATCGTAACTACCTAGGTAGGTTAGTATGTTTCCTGTCATCCCGACAGCGAGCCAATGGCTGAGTCAACGATTTTGAGAACTACGATGGATGCGGAAAGCGACCGAAGCGCTTTACATTGTTCAGTAATAGTTGGTGTAAGAGACGGACGCACTATAGTAATTGGTGCCCGGAGCGGGTCGATGCATCTGACGGAGCAATGTTCCACGAATCTGGGGTACGGTACTTGGGGTGTACATGGGTGTGTGCCGGACATGCTAATGCTGTGCGGCTCGCGAAACTTGTGGAAGCAATTAAGCGGACTTCGTTGTTTTTCTTGGGGCCTGTCCATGTGGTCAGTCAAGCACTCCAGGGTACCTACATGCCGACTTCAAACCAATGAAGTTCGATAGAAGCCGAAACTATGTGCATACCGGGAGACTATCTACAACCGAGAACAAGAGATCGTCGCGTCCACGGAGGCCATCGAAGATCCGCTGATCATGCGATGTTGGACGAGAAACATGTATATAGCCAGGAAAGATGAACTTCCAGATGCCCTTCACTAGGTCAGTCAATCGCTCAAGAGTCGATCTCTACTACTTCTTTTCTCCCCAAGAGCTTTCGAGACGACAGATCTATCGACCATGTTCTCCAAGATTGCATCTCTTCTCGCTCTTGTGGCCAGTGCAAATGCACATGGCTATCTCTCTTCTCCTATGAGCAGGACTGGTCTGAATGCTCAGGTAAGTTATGGCGTCCAGTTGGGGACATTAGAGGTATACCCCGTCCCGTCGTTAACACGTTACAGTCTGGCGCTGATACATGCCCGGAATGTACCATCCTCGAACCTGTTACAGCATGGCCCGACCTTGACGCCGCAGCGGTTGGTCGCTCAGGTCCTTGCGGATACAATGCCCGCGTGTCCGTCGATTACAATCAGCCCGGTCCTCGCTGGGGTTCGCAACCCGTCATCACCTACGAGTCCGGTGATGTAGTCGATGTACAATGGTGCCTTGATGCCAATGGTGACCATGGTGGCATGTTCAGCTACCGCATCTGCCAGAATCAGGCTCTCGTCGACAAACTTCTAACACCGGGTTACCTTCCTACGGAAACCGAGAAGCAGGCTGCTGAAGACTGCTTCGAGGCTGGTGAGCTGAAGTGCACCGATGTTGCTGGGCAGACGTGTGGTTACAACTCTGACTGTCAAGAAGGTCAGCCTTGCTGGAGGAACGACTGGTTCACATGTGAGTATATCTCAGGAAATCAGAACAATAACTCGATACTGACCCTAAGAAGGCGGTGGCTTCAACGATGGCTCGAAATGCAGGAGCGTCGACAACGCACCACTCAATTCGTGCTACACCAGCATCGCAGGCGGATACACAGTCAGCTCGAAGATCAAGATCCCTAACTACTCAAGCAACCACACGCTGCTGTCGTTCAAGTGGAATTCTTTCCAGACTCCGCAAGTGTACCTGACTTGCGCAGACATCAAGATTACTGGTAGTGGCTCGGGCGGCGCAACCCCACCAGCTTCGAGCAAGGCTCCCGCGTCTTCAACGAAGGCGACTTCAACCTCGACGGCGGCACCTACTGGCTGCGCATCGCCTGTATCCACAGTAGCTGTGACGTTCAACTCGAAGACCACAACATCGTTCGGCCAGACTGTCAAGATCGTTGGTTCTATTGCACAGCTCGGCAGCTGGAACGCAGCGTCTGCGCCTGCGCTTTCTGCAAGCCAATACACCACCGCAAACCCGCTTTGGTCGACAAAGATCAACCTTCCGGCTGGTGTCAGCTTCGAGTACAAGTTCATCAAGGTCGAAAGCAGTGGTACCGTGACCTACGAGTCAGGTGCTAACCGCGTGTATACCGTGCCGAAGGGGTGCTCGAGCGCGGCCACCGTTGCTAGCACGTGGAAGTAGAGCCGCAGGTTCCGGAGAGAGAACGAATGTTGTATGCTTTCTTGGTCGTATTAGAACGGCATGGAATGTGTTGGTTGTTCAATGTAGCAAATAATGCCAAACACTTGCTGCAACCCGTCACGCCCCCCGACAGCGCTTGTGATGAATGAAGATGCAGGAGTCCAAGAACGCTTCAGGTTTCATTAGAGAGATTCTAGGTTTCGGGCGCATGATGTTCTTCGTGAGGTGTGAGGATGGTAGGTGTTCGTAATGGCTGACGACTGCCACGCCGTGACGCGACATCCTGACGCGACAACACTAGACTGAAATCAGGCTAGCGCTTGTTGACACCAGCCATCGACACGGAACTGCTGCCTACTCTACACTCAAACCCTCGCGTTACCCTCGACCTTTGCATTTTATATACAGCTGCCCTCCAAAACACAAACTTTGATATCGCAGACATGCACCGCGTACAGAAGTGTTGATCGTAATGAAGACCGAATTTGACAAAATCGCGGAGGAGGCTGGGAATGCTGAGCTCGAGGCTTGGGCGGCGAAGGTAAAGGCCGCAAACCAAGAGATAGTCACTTTCGTAGGCGAGAAGCTGAAGACCAATGTACCGGGAGAATTCGTCAGATACCTTCAAGGTTCATACAATGTCAATCTTGTCATA